CCCTCTCCTGTACCCTCTTCTTCCTCCTGGTTCCCCACTGGGAAAAACTCTTGTCCCCTCAGTTCGTGGGCCAGACAGACTCCCGGTTGTTGTATCTTCTTCACCTCTTCCCTCCCTGTCACCCCCCACAGCCTGTCAGTCCCCAGTCCCTCCTGCCTCCTCACATTCTCTGCCCCACCCCCCTCCTCTATTCCCAGGGTCCCAGCCTCAGCTCAGGCATCCTCCTCCCCAGCCTCCCAGCCTCCACCAGTCTCTCCCTCTCAATCCATCCCCCACAGGACCCCAGAGGGGTCCTTCTGACACCCACATCTGACCCGGCCCCTCCCTTTGCTCACAACCCTCTATGGCTCCCCATCACCCGCAGGAGAAAGTCCCCAGCCTGGTCTTCAGAGTGCTTGCGAACCTAGCCCCGCCCACCACCTCAGCCTCATCTTCTATGCTCCTTGGCTCCTGTCCTCTAAGGCTCCCGTCAGACTTGACTGCTGTGCTGTTCTCCCGGAATCGCCCCTGGTTTCCTGCCTTTGGGCCTCTGCTTAAGCTGTGCTCTCCGCCTGGACCGCCCTTACTGCTGCCTGCCCGCCCCCCACCCCCCGCCTCCCTCAAGGATTCAGATCTAACTTCTCCCGGTTCTTGGAGGTCAGGCCACAACCACTGCCTTCTCTGGAGGTCCTGTCGGATGTCTCCAGCTAAAAAGATTCCTTTTGCCCCTGTGCTTGCACAGCCGCTGGTCTCCCCTCTGTCGTACCCCGATCACCCTGGATTGGAACTGTCTGCGCTGGGTCTGTCTCCTCCATCAGACTGTGAGCTCCATTTGCAAGGGCAGATATGGGTCTGATTCACCTCGGAAGCCCCATGGGGGGGGGGGTGGAGAGACCCAAGCGGAGGGAGGGGAAGGAGGCTGGGAGAGAGAGAGGAGAAGAGCCGACCCCGATGGTGGTGTGGGGGGGGGGGTGATGTAAGGAGAGAGGAGAGAATGCACAGGGCAAGGAGGAGGCAGGCAGAGAGAAGGACGGGAGGAGAGGTGGAGGGACGAGGGAAAGCGGAGCGAGGAGAGAGAAACGGGCCCCGGCCGAGGGAGGAGGAGGGAGGGAGAAGTGGGAGCGCCGCCGGCCCCGCCGCCTCCCGGCTCCTTTTGTCCCTTCCCTCCTCCCTGCGTCACGCTCCCCGGCCCGGCCGCCCCTCCCCGCGCCCTCCCCCGCCCCGCTCCTCCTCCCCGGGGCTGGATGGAATTTTTTCCCCTGGACCGGGGCCAGCTCCGGGGCAGGGGGGAAGCCAGGCCGGACTGGGCCGGGCGGTGGGGAGGGGCCGGGGCGGGGGCCCCCTGGGGAGGGGGCTGGTCCGGCGGGGTCCCGGGCGGGGGAGCCGGCCTGCGGAGCCGGGGAGGAGGCGCAGGCCGGAGGGAGCCGAGGCGGAGGGCAGGAGGATGGCGGGGACTCGAGGAGGAAGGGGAGAGGCCGTGGGGCGGCGGAGGCGGGGAGAGGATGGAGAGGAACCGGCGGCGGTGAGGCGGGCTCAGCCAGGCCTGGGGGCTGACCGAGGGGACCCTTCCCTCCGACGCGGGAGCCGCGGAGCCGTGAGTCTGCGGGAAGGGCGGGGGATGGGGCCCGGGGCCGGGACTCCAGGGTCCCTGAGGGAGGACCCTGAGCGAGGAGGCAGCCGGGGGCCTGGGTTTCTGGGTTCTGGGAGGAGGAGGAGGAGGGGGCTGGGAACCCAGCCTCCTGAATCATTGGAAAAGGGGCTGGGGGCCAGGATTCCGGGGTCCAGAAGGAAGAGAGGGCAGGCAACACCTCTTGGATTCCATTGCGCGGAGAGAGATGGGGCTGCGAGAGCTGGGTTCGGAGCTGGAGGAGCCTGGGGGCAAGATGCCCGCCCGAGCCCTCGGGGGAGGTGGAGGGAGAGAGTCTGGCCTTGGAGGTGCCCCTGGCAGCGGAAGGGTTAACGTCTGGCTGGAGGGGAGGGGGAGGGGCAGGGAAGGGGCTGCGGGGCTTTGAGGGGTCAAGGGTGAGCCGTGCAAGTGGGAGGGGGCCGCGGAGGAGGGGCGAGGTTGTCTGGGCTGCCAGACAGGCCAGGGTCAGCGGCGGGGGCAGGGGATGTCTGGCGGAGGAGAGGCCCAGCATCCAGGCTCCCTTGGGGACCCGGGATTCCAGGCCCCGGCCCCTCCTCCCTTAGACCTGGGAATCCGCAACGCGGCCCCCTCCCTCAGAATTCCAGAATCCGAATCCCTAGCCCCCTTTACCCCAGGACCCGGGAGTGTGGGTCTCCAGCCTCTCCCCACAGACCTCGGAGTCCACACTCCAGCCCCGACCCTCCACGAAACCCCAGAGTTCGGGCCCCCAGCCCTTGCCTCCCCCGAACCCAGGAGTCCCCACCTCCTCCTTAGCCCCAGCTGGAGTCCAGCCCTCCGGGGGTTAAGGGGGCGGGGCCAGCTGGTTGCCATGGTGCCAGACTGTTTGGGTCTGCTCTCTGACCCTTGGGGGCTCCCCAGGGTCTGCAGAGAGGGGGAGGGGGACCCAGACCTGGGGGAAGTCCAGCGCCAACCCCTTCCCCAAATCGGGCCTGTGGGCCCAGGAGTTCTCATCTCCACCAACTCCTTGTCCAGTGACCTTGAACAAGTCCTGACCCTTCTTGCTGGCCCTCACTTTCCCCAAGGAGAAATTTCTTGGGGGAGTGAGGAGATGCTCAGGTCCCGCAAATCTTGAAGATTCTCGGTTTCCCCTCTCCTCTCACCCCCTCCTCAGGCCCCAGGCAGCCCCGGGGCATGCTGGGAACCCAGGCCTGGGCTCTGGGCCAGGTTGTTGTGGGGGGGGCGGGGGCAGCCTCCTCCCTTCCCCTTCCTCCCCACCTTGGCCTGACTCTCGCCCCCGCCTGAGGGTCTGGGAGGTTGGGAAGGAGGGAAGGGGGATGAGAGCTGGGACCGGAGACCCTTCTCTGGCCCCCCGCCTCCCCCTTTCCTCCTCCGCCCCTTCCCGCCTCTCCTCCCCCTCCTCAGCAGGTCGCTACCCCAGCCCTGGGCCCCTTCTCCAACCACCCCCACCCCACCCCCAGCTCCAGACCTGGCTCTGAGCTGCGAGGGGGAGGGAGAGAAGGAAGGAGAAAGACAGAAAGGGAGAGAGAGAGAGAGAAGGAGCAGAGAGGGAGACAGAAAGAGAGAAGCGATGGAGGGGGAGGGAAAGGAGAGAGACCCAGGAGGGAGGGAAGGAGAAAGAGAGAGAAAAGGAGAGAGACAGAGACAGAGGGAGAGAAGGAGACAGAGAGATGAAAGATGGAGAGAACGGGGAGGGGAGGAGGGAGAGAGTGGACAGAAATTGAGGGAGAGAGAGACTGAGAGGGAATGAGAGGGACAAAGACGGAGGGAGGGAGGGAGGAGGAGAAGGGGAGGATGAAAGACAGAAGGGAAAGAAAAAGAATGAGAAGAGAGCGAGGGAGAGACCATCTGAGAGGAAGAGAGGGAGGGAGGAAAATAAGAGGGGGGAGAGGAGAGGAGAGACATAGAGTGAGGAAGACACTGTGAGAGAGAAGGGAAAGACAGACAGAGCAGAGGGGGTAATGAGGGATGCAGGAGAAGGAAACCAGGTGAGACCGAAGCTGAAACAGAGACCAAGCGGCAGCAGACGTGAGAGAGAGCACCAGAAAGGTGGAGATGCGGCATGAGACAGTGAGAGCAACACAGGCAGAGAATGGACAGAGGGACAGAGAATGCACAGTGGGCAAGACGCCCAGGTGTACAGACCCATAGCCAGGGATGGGGAGGGTGGGTGCTGGGTCCCTCTGGCCTTGGAAGCCCAGCCCCTCCCACAGTAAGTGGGAGGCTGGCTTTGGCCAAGTCCCTTCCCTTCTTGGGGCTCAGCATTCTCACCTGCAAAATGGGGGTGCTGATAGCACCTTGCACTCCTGCCTGCGAGATGGCAGAGGCCTGGGGCGGTGTCAGTGCTCAGGGATCATAGCTGTCATCATTATAAATGATGAGAGGCCAAAAGAAGGGACGAGAGAGGGGAAAAAAATAACCCAGAGATGCTTTGAAGGTTTCATGTTCCCTGGTCCTCTTCTGCCATGATCCTGGATTCCCGAATCTGACAGGTAGGTAGGGAGCCATCTTGCCCAAGGGGCCAAACTCCAAAACAGGTGAGGTTCCCACTAACCCGGCATCCAGGAAGCAAGGCTGTGCCTTCTCCAGGGAGGCAGGCCTGGCTGGACTCCCGGGTCTGAGGGAGGTGGGGGCTGGGGCCTGGACTCCAGGGACCTTTGGGAAGGAGGGGGCTGGGGGCCTGAACTCCTGGGTCCCTGGTGAGGCAGAGGCCGAGGGATTGATTCCTGGGTTCCTTGGGGAGGAGGGGGCCGGGGGCCCGGATCCCTGGGTCCTGGCACCCACCCGTAGAACCGACCTTGCGAGGCCTTCGCCGCACACAAGCTCGTGTCTGTGGGTCCGTGTCGGGGGCTCACCATCGCGGCTGGGGCCTCCCCGGCCCTCCTGGTCCCCCGTCTGTCCGTCCATCCGTCTGTCTGTCCACCTGCCGCGCCCCCCGGGCTGAGGTAGGAGGTTGTATAGTTGAGGAGGACACCCACGGAGATCACTATACGGCCTCCTAGCTTTCCCCAGGCTGCGCCCTGCACGGGACGGCCCGGCGGGGACCCCTGGGGCCCTGACTGCTGCCCCACCCCGCCGGGCTCAGGGGGCTGCCGCAGGGACCCTGGGAGGAGGAGCTGGGCTGTCTCTCCTGTCCCTGCATTCCCTCCTCTCCCTTCCCGCAGAGAGTTTTTCTCCCATCAAGAAGCTTCTGTTTTGCTTTCTCTGTGTGTCCATCTCCGCGGTGTCTCTGGAGTCTTCTGTGTGCCCCTGCATGGTGGCTTCTTGGACGCTGTCTCCATCTCTCTTTGATTGTGCTTTCTGGGTCTCTGATCCTCCTGATATCTCTCTGCGTCTCAGTCTCCGTCTCTCAGGCCCTCACGGTGTCTCTGTGCCATCTCCACCGCTGACGCACCCCCTGCCCCACCCCACCACACACGACACTGCCGGTCTCTGGGTCCCTGAGACCCTTTAACCTGTGAGGACGTCCAGGGTCACAGGTGAGGTTCTTGGGAGCCTGGCGTCTGGCCCAACCACAAGCCTGGGGACTGCCAGTCTGACCCCTGACCCCTGACCCCTCACACCCTTCCTCCCTAAAAATCCTGGAGCCTGACATTTGACCAGCAACTGAAACCCGACCTCTGACCCCACACCAGGGCCCCTCCCCCACCCCATGGTGACCTCACAAAGGTCATCAGCTTCTCCCAGGGCCGGGACCTAGACACTCCGCCATGGCCCTGCTGGCCCCAGCGAGTGCTGTCCCTTCCACTGTGGTGGCCCTCGCGTTCCTCAGGGCGCCCGCCTGGGCCTGTCTCCTCTGTTTCACATCCTACAATGAGCGGCTCCGCATCTGCCAGATCTTTGCAGGCGTGGAGAGCCCGGAGCTTGAGAAGTGTGAGGAGGCATTCACAGCCGCCTTTAAGGGCCTCCTGGACACTGAAATCAGTGAGGAGACCCCCCCACCGTCCTCTGGGGCCCTGGGGGGTATGCAGAGGGAGGGACCAGAGAGGCTGGAGAGACACACATACACAGGTAGACAGAGACGGGGGATAGACCCAGAGCAGGGGGAAGAGAGACTGGATTCGGGGGGCAGACCCAGCAAGGAGAGGATAGAGACTTGGGGGGAGGGGTGCCGCAGAGACTCAGGGGAGGATAGAGACTGGAGAGGACAGAGACTCAGAGAGGGGAGGATAGAGACTGGGGGGGACAGAGGCTCAGGGGAGGATAGAGATGAGGGGGACAGAGACTCAGAGAGGAGAGGATAGAAACTGGGGGAACAGACTCAGAGGAGGATAGAGACTGGGGGGACAGAGACTCGGAGTGGGGAGGATAGAGACTAGTGGGGACAGACTCAGAGAGGGGAGGATAGAGATGGGGGCACAGAGACTCAGGGGAGGATAGAGACTTGGGGGGACAGACTCAGAGGAGGATAGAGACTGGGGGGACAGACTCAGAGGAGGCTAGAGACTGGGGGACAGTCACAGAGGAGGCTAGAGACTCGGGGGACAGACTCAGGGGAGGATAGAGACTGGGGGGACAGACTCAGAGAGA